CCCCCCCACATATATCGTATTACAAAACATACAATACTATTAATATAGCTAGTTTTAATCTATTTGCTATACTGACCCTTTACTCCGGTCTTTACGTTAGTCRAAGGAGAGACCATGAATTCAAACTGAATCATTTTAGTTACTCGGTCTTGACGTTTTTCATCTTCTTACCCTAGATTCTAAATTTTACTGTACAAAACATTTCGTAGGTCCACTACCTTGTCTAAAGCTTGAAATAATTACACTACGGCGGTCCCGCGCTTTTATTTTATCATATAGGCTCTTTTGCTTTGCGAATATTCTACAAAATAACTTCAAGGTAACTGAAAGAAGATAAGAAAAAATAATAGCACTTAATTTGTGACTTTACCTGTGTAAAACGATCTGTTATTGAAACGTCTACAGTGSTTCTCTTGTGAACCAATATAACACCATCTTTAGCAAGCCCAATAGTGAAAGCATATGTCGATATTTGGCTAATTTATTCACTCATCCAATTTAACTGTGGATCTGTCAACCCGTAGCCATGGGATAGCTCATTGCTTTGAGAATCAAAACAACTGTGGACCTAATTGCAATACTTCTCGATTAGCTTGACTTAAACCTCTCTATTAAATCTTTACACAGTCTTGCTGCTTTTTGGGGATTTAAATTCATTACGGTTTTTTCTCTCTTCCTAAAAAAAAAGTCGCTTTATCTCTTAAATTTTTATCTTATATCTCTTGTATTTTGAGCGTGATTTCAAGAGGAAGTCAGTTTAAAAGTTGTATGAATATGTGCAAAAATCAACTGATGCTCCAAAGACGTTCCGCGAAAACAATTTCTCGATAAGATATTCGAGATATTCTTGGAAGTATTTTTCTTTTACGTTTTTTATTCAAATTTTGTTTACAAATAGTGATGTATTCAACGTCTAGTATGACTTTCTCAAAGTCATGAGTTTCTCTCTGACAGCCGTATTTTTACGTAAGATATAATTATTTTAATAAGTTACAAATGAATGATCGAAAGAAAGATGGATTGAAYGAATGTACAAATGAATCAATGCATGTCTAAATGAATGAATGGATGGACAAATTTATTCACTTTATATACGCATTCAGCCATGCATATATTCATCCAGTCAATTGTTCATCCATCATTTATATTCGTCTTAATTAGTATGTTATGTGCGGCTTATAGATAGACTGACCACATTTTTATATGTTCATTTATTTATTCCATTCATTCATTCATCCATTCATTTATTCGTTCATTCGTTCGTTCGTTTGTTCATTCGTTCGTTCGTTTGTTTTTTCGTTGGCTCGTCCGTTGGTTCGTTGGTTCGTTCATTCATTCATTCATTCATCCATTCATTTATTCGTTCATTCGTTCGTTTGTTCGTTCGTTTGTTTGTTCATTCGTTCGTTCGTTCGTTTTTTCGATGGTTGGTTGGTTGGTTCGTATTCTTTCATTCATTGCTCATTTTGTTTCTTCATCCATCCATTTCTTTATCTGTTTGTTTAATTATCAACAATAAATCACTAATTTTGTTCTTTTCTTTTATTCATTTAATGATATTCACCAGCGAATTTGTTTAAGGCTTATGGTAGCGWTCGCTATCTTTTCTGTTTACTCGATTCTCTCTGCTTTTTACTGATCACCTCAGTAATAGTTAAGAGCGTTTGCCATCGAACTCCTACGCAGTAAACCTAAACCAGAAAACGATTCCCAAAACTTGACATTATCCTATCAATCCTGTACATCTTCATCATTTTCTTTGGCAGTTAAGTCCCTAACCTCGTGGTCAAGTATTCTTGAGGTTATTACAGCAAAACGATTGAAAACTAAAGCTATGAGACTAATATTGCTAAGTTACTAGTCTATTTCCACTAGAGATGGGTTATCAAAGTAGATAAAGTAGATGCTAAAATGATAAAGTCCGTGCTATGACATAGGAGTTACCATGCTGTCCAATATAGATAATCTAATGTAAAAAAGTAATAATTCAAAAACACGTCTTAAAGCCCCCTTTACACCAGCGATTTTTGCTGCG